AAAGAAAGAAAGAAAGAAAGAAAGAAAGAAAGAAAGAAAGAAAGAAAGAAAGAAAGAAAGAAATCTCTGCCAAAAATCTGGGAGCACAAGCTGAATTAACAGACACTTCACAAAATAGGGAATACAGTCTTTGCAAATATAGTTTGGAAAATTATTTAAATGAGAAGTTGACAATAGACTTTCACTGTCAAAACCAGAAAATACTGGAAAAGGGGGGACATTTAATATCTAGAATGACATTATAATATCTAGATTTGTACATATCAATAAAAATTCACAAAGAATATGCAAAAGTATTATAATAACTAAATACACATATTTTGATAAAAATTCATAAAGAATATCAAGAAACAAGAAAATATGCCCCACTTATGTGGGTAAAGGGGATAGAAACTCTCTGAGGAAATCCATAGTTAAGATAAAAAATTGTAAGTAAAAGTCTATACATTAAACAAAGAAAAATTTCAACTCAGTAGTGTAACTTTACAATTTAAAGAAGTTACACATCATTTAACTCAGTTGTGTCCTAAATTTTCTGATCAAGGAGATTATGGGGCCACAGAGAAATGTGATCAATGATGTAGTGTGTGCCTAAAGAGAGTCACATGGAGAGAAAACATTCTCTCAGGCTTTCACAAAGAGCAAATTGGCCAAGCAGTGGCCATGACTCATCCACATGGCTGACACTGACAAAGGATCTAGAAACTGCAATACAGGGTTTCGGGATAAGTCCTGAGGGGACTTGACTGACCTTGTCAGATAAAAAAAAGTTACATTTCTTGATATATAGGTCTGACTTTATCTTGGTCTTAACAATCCAGCAAAAAAGTGTAGAAACGAGGTATGAAAAGTGAAGCCATGGTAATATGCAGAGCTGTGGAAGGCTCAAGTCAACAGATTCAGACATATAACCCACTACTATTGTGGAGTACTGGACTATATTGGAATATTTTGCTGAATTTATGCACGTACAATATTTGGGTAGCAATGGAATACGCATCTCTGGCAAAACTAAACCAAAAAAAGGAGATATAAATGAAGGACAATTTTGTATCTGTGTATACAAAATAGGATATATAACCAGTTTCTCTTAATTCAATAAGAAGAAATATTTGTACTAATAGTGTTTGGACAGGATATCATGTCTGCATCTTGTGCTATGAATGACTACTACAAAGACAACAATATGCAATGTATTAATTGTTTTAACTTTCCTACAAACCTGTTTTTAAACTATGTTATTGCAATTTTTTCTCAGTAAAATTAATTAAAAAAAGAAGTTACAAAAGAAAAATAAAGTAAACTCAAAGATAGCAGAAGAGAGGAAATGAAGGGCCGGCCACAGAGCTCGGCAGATTAAAGCACCTGCTTAGGCAGACACAGGAACTGAGATTCAATCCCTGGCATGCCAGGGTGTGGTGGCATGCACCTGTAATCCCGCAGCTTGGGAGGCTGAAAACAGGAGAATCACTATGAGTCAAGTCTGTATAGTGAGACCCTGTAGACCCTGTACAAAAATGAAAAATAAAATAAAATTTAAAATGAAGAGAGGAAATGTTTAACTATAGATTAACAAAATTAAGTAAAAAATAGTAGAATCAATGAAATCTAATGATGGTTCTTTGACCAGATAAACAATAATAACAAATATTTAACTAGACTAACAAAGAGGCAAAATGAAAAAAGATTTAAATAACTAAGAGTAAAAATGAAGGAAGACCATTGGTAGCAAGCTTACAGAAAATAGCAAAGATTATAAGAAGCTATAATGGACAATTATATGTTTACATATTGCATGATCTAGACAAATTGCTACACACAAAACTTACTGTAGCTGATTTCAAAACAAATAAAAGTTTACAACAGTAAAGAGTTTGAATTGGTAATTTAAAAAATAAATTTGGAAAATTTCTCCAAAAGGGACCAGGGAAATGGCTCCGTGGAATGAATGCTTCCCTGGCAAGCGCAAGGGCCTGAGTTCAATCCCCAGTTCTAAAAAAAAAAAAATTCTCCACAAAATAAAATTCAGAACCTGGTGATTTCATGGGTGATTTCTACCAAACGTTTAAAGAGTAATCAAACTCAATTTTCTCCCAAACTATTCCTAAAGGTCAAGGAAATGTGCTAGTTTTACATCATTGTTAAAAAAGAAAACTTAAAAGTTCAAAAGATTTGTCTCACCATTTGAGAAATTTCCATCCAGTTACTTAGATCTGTTGTTCTTCTTCTATGGTAAGGTAGCTTTCCTCTACCTCATGGCAGTCAGGAACCAGCTGGAGAAGGCAAAATGACTAGAGACAACCTATATCCTTAAAAGACATGGCCCCTGTGACCTATTTGAACCACGTGAGCCTTACTTTTTAGTATCTCAGTCAGCTGTAAACTCATCAGCTGATGAGAAAGCATCCTCATGACCCACTCACCTCAATAGGCCCCACCTCTGAAAATTGCTGCATTGGAGATCAGTACCTTAATCAGGAGTCTTTAGAGGACACTTTTACTAATACCACAAGCAGAGGAAAAAATACTCCTTAATTTTTTGTATGACCTTAGAATAGCACCTCATATCCAAACCAGGTTAAGACTTTTCAACAAGAAAACTACAGATCCATGTATCTTATAAATATACATGTAAAACTCCTTAAAAATGCTAGCAAACTGAAGACAACAGCATATTAAGACAATTACATAAGATAATCAGGTGATATTTATCCTAGGAATGCAAGTGTGGTTCTCTATAAGAAAATCCTTCAATATAAAGCATCATATTAAGAAAAGGAAAGAGTACAACCACATCATCATCATCATCATCATCATCATCATCATCATCATCATCATCATCTCAATTCATGCAGAGAACGCTAATGAACAAATTCAGCATGTTGTGGATATAAAATCAATGTACAAAAATCAGTTGTGTTTCTATAAACCAGTCATGAAAAATCCAACAGGAGATTACAAAAGTAATTTAATTTCTCATAGCATACAAAATAATCAAATACCTGAGAATAAATTTAACTAAAGAGGTGAAAGACATAGAATGAAAACTGAAAAAAAAAGTTGCTGAAAGAAATTAAATTGCGCATTGGCATTCATAAGTAAACAAACATTAAATGAAATAATTCGGACACACAAGATTAAATAGCACATGCTTTCTCTTGTATAAGAAATGAAAAATATAATAAAGACCAAAACAGAAGATATATAATAGAAAGTAGGGAGATCTTTCTCAAATGGGAAGGCATAAAAGTGGTAGAAAAAGAAAGAGCTAGGGAGAAGGGAAAGTGTAAGGGGACAAATGACTTAAAAGAAAACTAAATGAGAAGGGGACCAGAGCCAGAAGAAGTAGGAATGAGAGGGCTCTGTACAAGTACCAACACCCCATGATAAATGTACTTATTATGTACTTTAAACATGTCCTTAAGAATAAATATATCAAAAATTTTGCAAAAAGAAATTAAAGAAACTCATATGTGCAAAGATTTTGTGTTCATGGATTATACAATTTAAAATTGTCAAGATGTAAATCCTACATAAAAGGACATGCTGAAAAATGGCGGCGCCGCCGAGCCCAGTGCGCAGCGCTGCCGCCGCCGCCCCGGCCGTCTCGGAGAAGGAGCCCTTCGGCAAGCTGCAGTCGTCCTCCCGGGACCCGCCGGCGTCTCTGTCCGCCAAGAAGATAAAATCAAAGACAAAATTAAAGAGAGAAAAAAAGAAGCATAAAGTAATGAATGAGATCAAAAAAGAGAATGGAGAAGTAAAGATTTTGCTGAAGAGTGGGAAGGAGAAACCAAAATCAAATGTAGAAGACTTACAAAGTAAAAAGGTAAAGAAGAAAAAGAAAAAGAAACACAAAGAAAGTGAGAAGCGGAAGCGTCCAAAAATGTATAGCAAATCTATTCAGACCATTTGCTCAGGACTGCTGTCAGATGTTGAAGATGAAGCAGCCAAAGGCGTCCTCAGTGACAACATAAAAGATTATGTTGCAAAGAGCGCGGATCCCAGGAACTCTGATTGCAGAATTCCGGAGAACAGTGACTTTCCCTTTGTCTCGTTAAAGGAGCCCCGGGTTGAGAAGACACTCCGGAGGCTGGACACGCTGGAGTTCAAGCAGCTTATTCACATCGAGCACCAGCCCAATGGCGGCGCCTCTGTGCTGCACGCCTACAGCAGCGAGCTCTCATGCCTGTCTCCTGTGGAGATGGAGAGGTTCGCCGAGGAGTTCGTGGGTCTGGTGTTCAGCGAAAATGAGAACTCGGCAGCCTTTTATGTGATGGGGATCGTTCACGGGGCGGCTGCCTACTTGCCTGACTTTTTAGACTACTTTTCTTTTAACTTTCCCAATTCCCCAGTGAAAATGGAGATCCTGGGAAAGAAGGATATAGAAACTACAACTATGTCCAGTTTTCATGCTCAGGTAAAGAGGACGTATTCCCACGGCACTTACAGAGCTGGCCCGATGCGACAGATAAGCTTGGTGGGGGCAGTTGACGAAGAAGTGGGCGATTACTTCCCTGAGTTCCTTGACATGTTGGAGGAGTCACCGTTTTTAAAATGCACACTGCCCTGGGGGACCCTGTCCAGCCTTCAGCTAGAAAGTCGCAGAGACAGTGACGATGGCCCCATCATGTGGGTGCGTCCGGGAGAGCAGATGATCCCTGTGGCTGATGTGCCCAAGTCACCTTTCAAAAGGAAGAGAACTACCAATGAAATAAAAAACCTCCAGTACCTACCTCGAACCAGCGAGCCTCGCGAGATGCTCTTT